GAGCGTGAGACAACCACAGGGGCGAATGGAAAGGATCGCAGCCGGCGATGCGTGTCTGCGTGCCGCCCGCCTGTGCTGTCCCCACAGACAGGCAGGAGGACCCGGTGTGGAGGAAAGTAGGCCTGAGCCACCCGTGCCCATCCCAGACCCCAGCACAGCCCGCCCCTCTGGGCCGCTCCAGGCCACCTCTGGTCACCGCCTGTCCTGGTTTTAGGAGAATAAACAGTCTCCAAGGAAGAACTCACAAAGAACTTTGCCTGGACAGAGCCTGGGGACTCCTGTGCCATGGAGAAGTCGGAGGCCAAGACTGAGTGAGCCCTGGCATAGCCCCAGCCGCAGCCTCTCCCAGGAGAGGGGGCCCAGCCTGGCTGCCAAGGAGGGGTCCTGCTGCCCTCCAGGGTCCCCCCCCACCTCGTCCCCCAGCGGCCAGTGTCCCCCCCAGAACAACTGGCAGGAAACCCAAGGCTTCACTTGATTCCCAGGGAGTCGGCTGGTGGCAGTGGCAGGGCCAGTGGCAGATGGCAAATTCTGTTCCTTGTAGAGGCGTGGAGAATAATTAGCGTGAGAAACCACGGGCTCAGCCTCGCTGATAAATGGAGCCCTGGTGGAGGCTTGTGGGGAGGGGCTGCGAGCCTGAGCTCTAGGGCCCTGGCTCTGCCGCTTGCCCGCTCAGTGACAGTGGCCGAGTTCCCTGCCCTCTCAGCCTTAGTTTCCTCGTCCATAAAATGGGGACAAGAAAAGCATTTGCTAGACAGTGTTGTCAAAAGGGTTGCACTATAGAAGGATGTCTCCGTGGGCCTGCGATGGTACTCAGCATGTGGTAAGTGTTGTGTAGTTTTTTAAAAAATGAGCATGATTGAGTAGCTGGTGGGACTGTTTGTGGGGACTTAGCCACCAGTACCCGGGCTTCTGGGACTCCGTGCCGGGCTCCCAGGTGGCTCCTTTGTGGGCGGGAGTCTCCGGCCAGCAGGGAGAATGTGGCAGGCAGACCTGGCTTCAAAGTCTGGTTACTCACTCACTGGGTTATATAATCTCTCCAGGCCTCGATTTCCCCACCTGGGACATGGGAACAGCCGGACCCACCATACCCACGGGATTGTGGCAAGGACCACTGAGTGGCGGGCATATAGCAAGGGTGTAGGAGGCAGATCCCTGGTCCTTTAAGGCCAGCCTGACCCAGGGGACAGGGAACAAAGGACAGTGGCATCCCTGGCCTGCCCCTGGCCGCTCCAGGGCCTGGGCATGTGAGGACCCAGCTCGCGCTGAAATCCTGCCCCGGCCCTGGGCAGGCTCAGCTCTGCCGTCTGCTCTGGCACAGCTGCTATGCGAAAAGCAACAGCCCTCACTTGGGTGGCACACAGCCGGGCACAGGCTGGTGGCACACGCGGCCCCCAGCCCACGTGTGCTTTCTCTGTCACCTTCCTCCCTCTGGTGCCTTCCGAGGCCAGCCCCGCGGCCTCCCCCAGGGAGCTGCAGAGCTGGGAAAGAGAAGGGGCGCTCACGGTAGAGCAGGCAGGCGTCTGTGTGCGTGGAGGCCAGGAGCCCGGCTTCAGAGGCTGCCCGGAGCTGTGGCCTGGTCGCCGGGTGCTTGGCGAAAACGTTTCACCTCTCAGCCTCTCGCGTGATGCCACACAGTGTTTCTAGCCGTGTGTCCTCTGTCTGTCCCGTGGGCTCAGTTTTCCTCATGTGAACAGTGGGGCCAGTGCCGTCCCCTGTGAGGGTGCGATTGTGATTCTGAGGACCCAGAGAGCTCTTTGCGGTGCCCAGGGCCCTGCCTTCTGGGGGCAGGAAAGTCGCTCCGTGAGGGGAGTGCGCGGCCAGCTCGTGGGTTTCAAGACAGGCATTTCGCTGAATCCCACACCTGGGAAGGGGCGTGCAGAGGTTAAGGCGTGGGCTCTGGAACTAGGCTGCGCGGTCCTGGCCCGGCTGCTTCTCCTGCCTGTGGAGTAACAGCAGCTGCTCCCTCCCAGGGGTGTTTGGACGATTAAGTGAGTTTATGTTTGCAAGTGGCTGACACGAGTGTTAGAAGGGAAACAACCCAGGCCCCAGCCTACAGGTGCACGGGGCTCCTCTCCCAGGTGGCTCCTTTGTGGACAGGAGTCTCCGGCCAGCAGGGAGAATGTGGCAGGCAGACCTGGCTTCAAAGTCGGTTACTCACTTACTGAGTTGTATAATCTCTCCAGGCCTCGATTTCCCCACCTGGGACATGGGAACAGCCGGACCCACCATACCCACGGGATTGTGCCAAGGACCACTGAGTGGCCTCTGCAGTTATTCCAAGTGATCCTGGTTTCCACATCTATCCCCTCCCTCTGCCCTCTCGTTTAGGCCTCAGACGGCAGCGCAGAGAGGTTAAGCAGTGACCACAGTCGCACAGCTGCCAAGTGAAGGGGCTGGAATTGAACCAAAGCCTGTGTGTGCACCTGGCTGGAGTCAGTACCCGGTTAGGCAAGGTGGTGAGCTGTGTGGGTGAGCCCATCCCCGCTGGGGTGGAGCCTATGCCCTGGGCAGCCTGCGGGGGGCCTAGCCTCGCTGTGGTCATTTGCCCCGCTCAGACAACCCCCCGCAGCCTGGGCCGGCCCCAGAGCCGACACAGACACTCCCAGAATTGGGCAGGCCAAGAGGGCAGAGCAGGTGCCCCTGGGCTGTCTGGGAGCACCTTCCGACTTCAGGGCACTCTTGTGGGAACCCCGAGAGCATTGAGGAAGGGAGAGTCCTGGGTTCTCCCCTCAGGACACCAAGGCTGACAACGCCCGGCAGAACTACAACAGCCCTTCCAGCCCCGCCAGTTTCCCCTCTCCCCTTGGCCGCCAGGAAGCAACTGTGAGTGCCTTGATGACTCTCACACATGCAACTGGCTCATTCCCCAGCCTTCTCTTTCCATTCACCGGAGCCTGGAGGGACCACGCCTTTCTGTCCTGCCCTTGATCTGGGGCTGGGCTCCATCTTCAGCCTCAGCAGGGGAGGGCAGAAGGGGGACTCAGGAAGGTAGCCTTTGGCTGTGAACCTCCTGTCCTTAGTCACACTGGCTGCAGAGTGCCCGGGACTCCACCTGCCTGCAGGCTTAAGAGCAGCCAGTGGGACCGCAAGTGGTTGACGCCTCCCCACAGGTTTTTCTCCAGCAGGGAGCTCGTGTGGAGTTGCCGGCTTCTGTGAGGGTTATGCGTCTTCCCGAGCACGAGAAGGAATCTGCCCTGGCTCCCTGCTGACCTCGGTGTCCCCAGGAAGTAGGCCGGCTTGGGGACTGCGGGGCTTTCTGTCCAGTACCGGGTGATGACAACACAGGGAGGGACGTGCTGAGAGGAGCTGGGAGCCACTTTCCTCACGAGGACAATGGGACTGGCTTGAGACCCCTTCTAAGTCACTGTAGGACAGCATGACCAGGGCCACATCGGGGTAGGGGTCCAGGGGACCAGCAGGTGTGGGCTCTGGATGGTGGCGGAGTGATCGGTCCTGCTTGCCATTTGGTCTGCAAAGAGCATCAGGGCCTGAGCCTTCCTCTGAGCCTTGGTCTCCGCTTGGGTAGCAGTGGTGAGGCTGGAAGGGGGCACACCTGCTGTGCACTCGCTGAGGGACCGGCGCTGCTCTAAGTGCAGGACCCCTGACCCTCGTGGGAACTCTGCTCGTCCCCCTCTCAGAAGCGAGGAAGAGAAGTCCGGCGGCTTTTCCAAGTTCACATAGCCACATAGCTGGGAAGCGACAGAGCCACAATGCTGGCCTTGAAGTCTGGTTTTAGACATGGACTTTTCCCCATCCCCTGCTCTCCCCGTGGTATGAGTGACACTGTCACCTGTGTTACCTCTGCAGGGACTGAAAGTGATGAGTCCAGGACTAGGACCTAAGAGGTGCTCAACTGGCGTCAGGCATGTCCCTGTGACCCCAAGCTGGCTGTCATCTCCTCCTTCAGGCTCAACCCCCAGCCCGGCCCTGGGCCCTGGTGTCTGAGACCACGTTTGGCCAGGGGGCAGATCTGATGGGCCAAGCACATCATCCTGTCTCCGGTGGGCACTCAGGGGCCGTGACCCCTCTGCAGGCGGGCAGGGAGCCCTTTGCTCCCATCAGCCCCAGCCCAAACTCTGGAGGTGTCCACAGGGTTGCTCTAGCATTCCTCCCTCCCTGACCCATGGAGCCCCAGTGGGGACCCCTACTGCTGAACCCGCCCCCAAGGCCAGGCCCACTGGGGACCGACCTTAGGATGAGGGCAAAGCAGATTGCCCAGTCCGGGCTTAAAATCGCTCCCTGCAGCCCTTGCTGGTCAGCAGAGCCACCATGAGCCCCAGAGTGCCTGCCAGGGCCACGCCCTATCATGGATCGCGTCAGAGGGGTCCTCAGAAGTCACTGGGCTCTGCTACTCCAGCAGACACTTAGGGGTATGCCAGGACCTTGCAGAGCCCTCCTGGCCTCAGGAGGTGGCGCTGTCCCCACTTTACAGGTGAACACAGTGGAACCTCATGGAAGGGGGCCATGGCTCCCCACGGGGAGCCTCGCCTGGCAGGCAAGAAGGAAGGGTATTTCCCCAGGAGGTAGGGGTGGGTGCTAAGGAGAAGAGGGTGCTCCCACCTGGGCCCTTAGGACGGGGACAGGCATTGTGCTGAGCAGGCTGGGCCGCTGCTCAGGTGGGGATGAAAAGATGGTTTGGGTAGGGTGGAGGGACCGGAGCCCAGCCCTGCACCTAGTGCTGGAGGGACATGAAGATGACCCTTGGCCCCCCGCCCCAGGACTGCCGTTGAGCTGGGGCAGGGATCCCTTAACTGTGAGACAATGGACCAGGGACCTGCTGCAGACAGATCTTGTCCCCCAAGAGGAGTGTCATGGGTGGGGGCCATACCAGGAGGGCTTCAGAGAGGAAGTGACTTTAGTCTGGGCTAGAAAGAGGAGTAGGATTCTGCCTGGCAGAGGAACTGGGGTGACCAAAGCATGGACCCTACCCGTGAAGTATTTTTAGGAAGCAAGTTTCGGGGTGGGGAGGGTTGGAAGAGGAGGGTGGGCAGAGTGTGAGAAGGGGCTGGAGGGACTCCCCAGCCGGAAGGGACCAGCCTGCCCAGGGCCAGCTCCGTCCTGTGCTCTGTTGTCCCTGCATTCCTGAGGGTTGGGGCAGGTCTTCTGCTGGGAGCCAGTGTGGATTCGGAGAAGGCGAGGCAGGGGCCCAGGAGTCACAGCCTGGTGGTGGAAGAGGCCCTCCTCACCTTACTGTGCAGGCCACAGGGAGCCTGCGAGGACTTGTAAAATAGGGGGCAGATGTGCATTTAAAAAAATAATTTTTAAAAAAGGGCTTTGCATTTTTAGAAAGAGGAACTCCCAGAATGGTTACTACTTAACCCGGAGGCCTGAATCACCAGCAGGGAAACTGGGCCCTGTGGGTGGGGAAGGAAGAGGCCCCTGGAGCCCTTGCATCATTGCCGCCATTCGAGGGGCTCCTGACGCCCTGGTCACACCCGCCTGGCCTCGGGACCCAGCCAGAGGCTGCACCCCCTGCTGGAGAGGGTGCGGGGCCTATCCTAGAGGTCCCACTGGCCTGGGGTTGCTGAGGGCACCGACTCCATGCCCGAGGCGGGGACAGCAAGAGGAGTTGCTTTGTGGCAACTCAGGCCAGGAAGCAGCCGCTGCCCTCCCCATCCCGGCCCCCAGACGTTTCCTCCAGATGAACTCACATCCCCAGCAGGCAGGCGAACAGGCCCCCATTGTGATGGGCTGGGGTCCCGAGAGAAAGGATGCCTTTCAGGCCCTTAAAAATAGCAGCCCCGAGATTTACGGATGTGCAGGGAGAGTGGCCTGGCCCATCCCCCCGAGCTGCATGCAGCCGGGCCCTGCTGCCTGCGTCCCAGACCATGACCCGTTGGTGACCTGCTGGAGGGTCCACTAACTGGTGGTGGGAGGGGCCAGCAGGGGGTTCACACGCACTCCCCTCCCTGGCCAAGATGGGGTCTGGCATTCGTCCAGAGGTCTCCCCTCTTGTGAGCTTCACCAGAACGTGGGACGCGAGAGTAATCCCATTTTACAGATGGGGAAACTGAGGCACAACACATGAGTCACTCAGCAGGTAGGTGCTGGAGTCTGGGTTTGAAGCCAGGCAGCCTGCCTCCTGGGCCTGGGCTCCCTGCCCCTGTGCCTAGACGCCTGCTGTGGGGGCGGGCCCCAGCACCCACCCTGGTCCCCAGGCCTGGAGTAGGGTGCCTGGCGTGCTCACATGGCACTCAGATGGGACCTGGTGTTGGCTGCAGGCTGGCCGCCTAGAGCCTGATCACATCGCTGCAGTGGCTTGCCAGTCCAGCCTCCTCTGCAGGAGCCCGATGGCAGCTGGGCGCCCTTCTCCCAGCCTGAAGTCAGACTGTGGGTGGTGAAGTATCCGGTTCCAGGTTCCTCCACCACGTGAAGGCTGGGGCGTCCGAGCGGCCCCCCAGCATGACTGGGGAGGACCATCCCAGGCAACTGAAAGCGCAGGACAGGTGGCAGCTCCCGCCAAGCCAGCCCCTCCCCTCCCCAGCCCCGCCTGGCTGGGGCAGGGCAGGGAGTCACTACACCTGCTGGGGCCACGCGGGTCTCTCCAGCTCCACACATTTCCTTCTGCGAGGGGGCTCCGGGCAGCCCCACCCCACGTTCCACCCAATGCTCCCTGAGCCACCTGGTGCAGGGGGCGGCGGCAGCAACACCAGTGGCCGGCAGCTCTGTGTCGCCCGGCCCCGCTGGCCCCCGCCCGCTGGTCCCCGCCCACGCCGGGATTTCTGTTCTGTCTGCCGCTGCCGATGCCCCAGCCCCTGCAGTCAGCAGACCCTGTAGTCCCCGGCCACCCCACCACTGAGGCTCCTTCTCTCTCCATCCTCCTGGCTTCCCAGAATCCTGGCTCCGACTCCTCCTCGGAGAGAGAGGGGGATGATGTCACTTCCTGAGGCGGGGGGAGGAGTAGGCACGACCCCGCAGCCAGCCCGCCAGCCCGCCCGCCGGCCGCCGCCGCTCACCCGCCACGGGAGCAGCCCTGGCAGTGCTGGATGGAGTGGCTGCACCGGGGCCAGGGAGAGGGAGACGGACCGGGCTGGACATGCTGGCCGCCCCGAGGACTGTGCCCGCTGGTGGGGGAAGACTTGGCCGCCTCCTTCCCAAGTGCTGCCGGGCTCTGCGGACACGCGTCTCCCCCGGAGTCATCACCGGGGACGGGAGGACCTGCCGCTCGCCCCTGGACCAGGTGCCCTGTAAGCCTCTGCCCGCTGGGGGGCAGCTGCCCAGCAGCAGGGTGCCCAACCCCCCGCAGCAGGGGTCAGGTGCATGGCTGCCCTCAGCCCCTCCCGGGTATCTCCCAGGAACCCCCTGCGGGCAGTCTTCCTGGGTTTACAGCAGGGCCCCAGTTTCTCCTGGCGCTCCTTTCTGAACCAGCCAGTGGCCAGTTGGAATCCAACTACCTGAGAGTTGGGAACCGGGCAGGGAAGGTTGCTCGGAGCAGGGTGGGCTACCCTGCTGGGCTCACCCACCGCCCTTGCAGCCAGGGGCACACCCCTGCCCCCAGGCTCCACCTGGTCCTTCCCTCCCTAGAGGCAAGGGTGTGGCTTCTGTAGGAAGGCCACGAAAGGAAGTCAGAGAGCAGGCTCACGGGGCTGCGGCAAAGCAGGGGACTGACACCCCCATCCCACTGGCACTTCCTGAGCACCTGCTGTGTGCCGAGGTCCCAGCGTGGTCCTGCCCCACTGTCCCCAAGGCCTTAGCCCCCTTCCCCTCCCACCAGGTCCTGCGGGGCTTCGTGCCGAGGGGTGGCTCCATCTTAGCCTGGGACGCCCCCACCCCATCCCAAAGGACCATGTGCACTGGGCCAGGTCTGCTTGCAGCAAAGCAGTAAGTGGGCTGGGGGCAGGGGCTCACACGGATCCCATGAAGGAAGAAAGAGGGGATGAGCCCAGGTCTTTGATGGAGCTGAGCAGTTACTGCTGGGGCAACCCAGGCAGCGTCAGTCTCGGGGGCCAGGAGAGACCTGGGGGTGAGGCTGGAGCCAGTCTTGTGCTGTCGAGGTCCTTTGTGTTGGTTCTGGGTTGTGGATAGGACAGGAGGCGGGTCCCATCCAGGATTGAATCAGTATTTCCAGTGGCTGGGAGGTCCCTGGGCTATGGGCCATGGACTTGAGGTGAGTGCCAAAGACGTGTGTGCTGCTGGTCACACCTAGGACTGGCCAGAGGCCCAGGAATGCTGGGGCCCTGGGTGCTGTGCCCCTCCCCCACCCCACACAGCTCCAGGGTCCTGTGCTTCCTTCCAGGAGGTGAGCGCCAGGCCCGCTGAGCCTCCCCGAGCCGCCAGCCATGCCCGGGATCGTGGTGTTCCGGCGGCGCTGGTCTGTGGGCAGCGATGACCTGGTCCTGCCAGCCATCTTCCTCTTCCTCTTGCACACCACCTGGTAAGTCTGGGAGGCCGGGCCGAGAGGCCTGGGAGGAAGCTCTGCAGCCATCTGTTCTCCCTGCCTGGGCCCAGTCCTGACCCAGCCCCCAGGAGGTGTCTGCAACTTGGTACCTCTTAGGGCCACACCCAGGTGGAGCCCAGCAACCCCTCCTGGCCACCGCTGCACCTGACCCCAGCACCCAGGGAGTTGCTGCTGCTGCCTCCCCCCACGGGGGGCGGGGTTCCCACTTTTCCCCCCCTTTCCCGAGTTTTTTTCTTTTTTTCCTTTGCCCCGGAGGGATTTTTTAACCCCGGGGGGGGGGGGGGGGGGACACGGTGGTCTTAGGAGGAGGCCCGCCTGCCGGGCTCAGTGCAAGAAGCGGAGGCCACCAGGCCTCACTTGCTGGTCTCTCCGCAGGTTTGTAATCCTGTCCGTGGTGCTCTTCGGCTTGGTCTACAACCCGCACGAGGCCTGCTCCCTGAACCTGGTGGACCACGGCCGCGGCTACCTGGGCATCCTGCTGAGCTGCATGATCGCTGAGATGGCCATCATCTGGCTGAGCATGCGTGGGGGCATCCTCTACACAGAGCCCCGCGACTCCATGCAGTACGTGCTCTACGTGCGCCTGGGTAAGGGCCACCCGCCTCGGGTGGGGGGCTGCGCCAGACCCCGGCCTGCACCCTGCTCCTCTGCTCACTGCTGTGCTGTGAGTGCTGTGGGCCGGGCTCTGTGCTGGCAGCAGGTACAGCAGGCAGCTGAGACTCTGAGATGCTGGGGTTGACATTCCGAATATGGCCGGCTCCAGGCCACTGTTGCTTGTAAATAAAGTTTTATTGGAACACACCCATTCGTTTATGTAGGAGGGTACTACAGAAAGTTCATGGCAAATGGAATTAAAGTTGTTTATTTTTGTGCAAGAAAAAAAAATCCATGCTTAGTTTTTTCATAATATGCAGTTCCCATGAAATTTTTGAAGATCCCACATTGTGTATGACTTTAAAAAAGTTTGTTTTAAGATTATTTATTTAAAGTTAAAGAGTTATTTATTTATTTGAAAGGCAGAGTGACAGAGAGAGGGAGAGACAGAGAGATCTTCCATCTGCAGTTCATTCCGCAAATGGTGGAAGCCAGGAGCCGGGAGCTGCTTCGGGGTCTCCCACATGGGTGGCAGGGACCCAGGCACCTGGGCCATCCCCTGCTGCTGTCCCAGGTACATTAGCACGGAGCTGGATCGGAAGTGGAGCAGCCAGGACTTTCAGTGGGACCATATGGGATGCCGGCATCAGCAGCAGCAGCTTTACCCACTGCAGTGCAAATGCCGGCCTCTCAACATTTCTGAACCAAAATAAACCTATCTTTTAATTCCACTTTCCATGAACTCTTTGAACTCTCCTCGCGTTGTCTCTGGCTGCGGTGGCACAGCGCTGACACAGCTGAGCTGCTCCCGAGACCCAAGGACACCAGGTCCAATTCTTGCTCCATGCCCCTTTCCAGATGGCCAGCTCCTTTTTTGGGTCGCATTTGCTCTGTGACCCTTGCCTTCCTGGGAAGTCGTACAGGGGCCTGGCCCCGCTCCCCTCAGGACAAGCCTGCGCCCTGTCTCCCTTTCCCAGGAAATGCTTCTGAGTGCTAAGCCAGCCCTGCCCCTGTGTCAGCTCACAGTGAGGAGCCGTCACCAGCTCGTAGATGAGGAAGCCGGGCCCCGTGGGGTTTATTGGCTTTCTCAAGGTCACACAGTGTGCCTCCGAGCTGGGACTTGAACCTGGGCTGGCTGGCTCCAGTGTTTGCGCTCTTGGCTGCCAGTATAGCCAAGACTTTTGAATTTCCTTTTCAGTGCCCACCCCAGAGAAATCAGGAAACTCACCTAAGACGTGTGGGATCTCAGGATGCAAGTGTAAAATCCTGAAATAAGCATAGGGAGACGCCTTTCCCCCGCCCGCCTTCCCAGCCACGTGCTGAAGGAGGCGCGGGGATGTGAAGGGTGTGAGGGACCAGCCAGGGGCTAGTAGGACAGAACGGTGATGGGGCAGCCTGGGACCTGTGTGGCAGAGGGGCAGTGGGGGTCTTATGCTGACCCACCGCCACCGCCTCTGCTGCTGGCCCAGCTGGAGACCCTGTGGCGGGAGGGTCCGGGCCAGGTTGCTGGGCCCTTCCCTGGTGGCAGATGGTGGCCCTCCTTCAGCCAGGGCCTGCTCTCCTCGCAGCCATCCTGGTGATCGAGTTCATCTACGCCATTGTGGGCATCGTCTGGCTCACTCAGTACTACACCTCCTGCAACGACCTCACCGCCAAGAATGTCACCCTTGGTATGTCGGGTGTGACCCACCACAGCCCCAGCCAGCCCTGGGGTGGAGGAGGGGGATCTGTGTAGAGGAGGAGGAGCTTGGGCACTGCCAGGGGGTACCAGCGGGGTCGGGGTGGGGCTGCTTCCTTCCCTCATGGGATTAGAGGCCTCTGGTCCGGGTGGGCAGCGGCAGGCACAGAGCTGCCCAGGGCAGCAGCTGAGGCTCCACACACCTCATTGGAAGGGTGGGCCTTAGGGTCATGGCCACCCAAGAGTTTGGCCATGTACACAGTCAGGGGCTCCTGAGCCTTACGCATGGGGCCTGGGGACAGTGGTGGGTGCTCCTTCCTTCCGAGCCACTGAGCCAAGGAGAGGTCCCCAGCACCTCCACCTGTTGCCCCCAGGGATGGTCGTGTGCAACTGGGTGGTCATCCTGAGCGTCTGCATCACCGTCCTCTGTGTCTTCGACCCTACGGGCCGCACCTTTGTGAAGCTCAGAGCCACCAAGAGGAGGCAGCGCAACCTGCGCACCTACAACCTGCGGTCAGTTGGCTGGATGGGTGGGCAGCCCCGGGGCGGGGCTCTGCTGAGCGGTGGGCAGAGGTGAGTTCCTGTTCTCCACGAGGCTGCCCAGCACTCCCCAGCTGCATGTCAGCTTCATGGGAGCCGTGGCCATTAGTGAAGGGCTGAACCTCTCCCTGCCTCAGTTTCCTTGTCTATGAAGCAGGCATGATACCAGTTCCTGCTTCAGATGTGGACAAGGCATTTTAGAGACTTAAATGAGACAACAGGCTGATACAGTAGCAGCACTAACAGTAACAGTGATAGTACTTGCAGGACACATCCAGAAACCAAGCCAGCAACTCCATGAGAAAGCTGGGGAGCCTGAGGTGCCAAGCAGTTGTGCTACGTGCCTGAGGTTGCGCAGCTAACGCGCGGTGAGGCTGGGGGCTAGCCCAGGCAGTCTGGCCTTAGAACCATTGCTCAAATACCAGGCGAGGCTGCCTCCAGGATTCAAGGGTCGGAGGGGGTTAATCAAGGCGTACGTCCTGGAGGGGGTGAGTTTTGTATGGTGTGTTACAGAAGGGAGAAAGCTGAGCTGTGGCAGAGAAAATGAGAGAGGGCAGCAGACAGGGTCATAATAATGCCCAGGGTGGGTCATAGGAGCTGCTGCAGCTGGAGCCCTGACTCTGTTAGGTCCTGCACCGAGCCCTTCCTGTACTCGGGCCATCTGACGCTCTCGCCAAGCCCCGTGCAGTGGTGAGGCCCATTCTGCAGATGAGGAGCTCCAAGTCCCTTGCCTCGGGTGTGAGGGGAAGGGGAAGGTGGCTGCTGATTCCTGGACTTTCCGTCCAGGCTTAGTATGTGCGTGGAAACGGCCCAGAGCCTCACCCAACGCAGCAGGCAGCCCAGGCCCTCGCCCCGCACTCTCCCTTTTGGCTCCCCTCGGCACTTCCACGTTCTACTTGGCACTGCAGCCAGAGCCACACCCGCGCCTGGTCTGGCCACCTCCCAGCCCACAGTGTCAGGCTTGGAGCCGAGGTCCCTCGCGGCAGTGGGCGCCTCCATGCGACTTTGATCACTGTAGGCATGCGCCCTTGCCTGTGCGGGGTGGCTGCCTTTGTGGCCCAGGCAGACAGTGCCTGCGCAGCTGGGGTTGGTGCTCACTGCGTGGTCATCAGAAAGCTCTCCTGTGGTCACCAGGCCCTGAGAAGCAGGAGGCGTTGGGGCTTATCAGCTCTCCCACCTGCTGTGGGTTCTCCAGCCGTCATGGAGGGCTTGGGGTCTGGTTGAATCTGACCGCCTCGCAGACTGTTCTCCACGTGCCCTCCCTCCCTGCTCTAAATCCAGCAGTTTTTCTAGAAAGGACATCTGCCAGCCAGTGCCCTGCTGGCCCATGCTCTTGAGTTATTTTGGGGCTTGGAAGTCACAGAGCTGTTTGTGTCCTTGCCCCCTTGTCCTTCCAGTGAGCTCTGTTGGGGTGTGGTGACGGGCGGCAGGGGTGGGGTGGGGTGGGGTGGGGGTGTTACTCCCAGCACTGCTCCCTGGGAGCCTCAGCCTTGGGATTCTGCAGAAGGAGTGTCTGCCTTCCTTTCCCTTCAGGGATCTGCAGGGCTGCTGGATCCCTGGACTTTCCGTCTAGACTCAGTGTGTGCCTGCCTGTCTCCCTTGTCCACAGCCTTATTGATGGCTAGGCTGAACCTGACACCTTCTCGCATGCATTCCTAAGGGCATCTGCCCCCTGGTGTATGTGAAGGGTACTGCAGTAAAGTGTCAGCGCTTCATCGGGCCAGGGGCCCAGCTGTAATGGCCCAGGAGGTAGGATCCTGGTTTAGGATATAAGGCAGCTAAGTCCCTAAGACAGCAGATCCTGGAGACAACAGTCCTCCTGTAGCCTTTCCTAACCTCCTGCTGTAGCCCCAGAAGACCCTGCTACTCGTTGTCTTGTTCCTGGCAGCCACTGCCTCGTGGACCCAGGGTATGAGAGCTGAGAGCCAACCTCAGCCACAGTAGAGGAGCCAAGAGGCTCAGGGAGGGCCTGGCCTGTCACTCCTGATGGGTGTTAAGTGGCTGGATGCCTGCGAGGGCCACCCTCCCCTTCCCCTCCTAACCACCCTGTCAGGCTTTTAAGAGGCCAGCATGTGGCGCGCAGGCCAGATGACCCCTGCCTGCTCGGTGTGCCCCGCATTTCTAACACTGGGCCTCCTGTATTGATGCTGAAAGCACACTGACGTCCGAGCTTCCAGCGTGGGAGGCACCTCTGTGGTGTTCTTTGCCATTGCTCTGCCTTTGGGGGTGCAGACCCTGGATACCGAGGTTCCCCATGGGAAGGGTGAGACCCCTGGGGGCTGGGAGCTGGGGGGCAGCCGTGCAGAAGAGGGGGTGGGAGCCCCTCCTTGCTTCAGTAACAGGTCCAAGGGGTTAGGAAATGCAGCCCTCTTTCAGCCCTGCACACTTCCTGTGAGTTCAGGGGATGTGCGCATCTGACATCCTTCCCAAGAAAAAGCAGGTGTGTCCACCAGGTCTGTTCCAGGGCTTGCAGTGAGACCCTGGAGAGGCCCAGCACCTGCTGACATTCCCCATGCCTCTAGTTTGAGCCTTTGGGCACCTGAGCTGCGGATCGGCCCCAGGGGATGCCAGTGTTCAGTCTTCCAAATGCCGTGGAGTGTGCCACCCCCCACCCCACCCACCAGCCAACAGCTTACCATGTTAGGCCAATAGGAGTCCCCCAGGGACTGCCTCTGCTGGCCAATGGCCAGGTCACTGGCCACCCAGCTTTGGCTGGGTCTGAGCCCTGTTCTCCCCCAGACTGTGGAGGGGGCCTGGGAACAGGCCAGCCTGTTTCCATAACATCTGGGCCCCGGCTCTTCTGGTGTAGCCCTCTGACCTCACACATACCGACTGTCCCCCTTGCAGGCACCGCTTAGAGGAGGGTCAGGCCACCAGCTGGTCGCGCCGGCTCAAAGTGTTCCTGTGCTGCACGCGGACGAAGGACTCCCAGTCAGTAAGTACTGGGAAGTTGCTTCCTTCCACTCACGGCCTGCAATTTGGGGGCCGTTTGTTCCTCTGGCAAAGCTGGGTGGGGCAGAGCTGTGAAGGCTTTGCTCTGACCCCCTCGGGGCTTGCAGTCTAGATTGGGAGAGGAAACCCAGTGACGAAGAAAAGCAGCAACTCAGCAGGGCAGAGCGACCATCAAGTGCACAGCACACAGCCCCTGGGAGCCCTGAGCAGTGGCCAGAGGGGCCATACTTGGCACCGGGGTCAGGATCACTCACTCCTGGGGCAGGCAGCAAAGTGCCCCCCAAGGAAGCCTCTGTGGCTCCTTCCCACCAGGCACCCTGGTGAGCCGAAGACTGAGCACCCATGTGCAAGAACACAGTTCCCCGGTGGGTGGGGAGCACCCCACGAGTCCCTCTGGGGACGTCTCAGGGTTCACTGCCCAAGGCTGGGCCTCAGGCAGGTCATGCAGAGGGCAGGGAGCAATCCCCTGGCACATGGAGGCTGGGCCTGCCAGGACCCGTGGAGGGCACACCCGCCCCTCCAGGCTCACGGGCAGAGCCAGGCCGCTGTTGGAGCCTGCTGAGAGGCAGCACGTCTAGGTGAGGGGGAGGGGAGCCCCACTGGGCAGGGACGGCGCAGGGCCCAGGTCCAGTCCTAAGCACGCTGGGATCAGCCTGTGCTATTGTTATCTCCCCAGGCTCGTCAGCTGGAGCTGAGAAGTAACTGGCTCTGTGCGGCCCCGTTAGGCACTGGAGTCTGACCCTTGGTGTTTCCTCTGACAAGTGTCAGACACTCCAGGCTGGGACGCAGTGAGATAGGACCGGCTCCTGCCCGGACGTCTCCAGACAGATTAGGGAGGCTGCTGCAACTCCAGTGGGCGTGAGGCAGGAAGTCACCGAGCTCCTTGGTCAGCACGGCTGGCCTCGGTTCTTGCCTCCTGCCCCGAGGCCCAGAAACCAGCTGTCCGCAGGCCGAGGACCTGGAGAGAAGCCAGCAGGGCAGCCAGCCCAGTGATCCATACCCCTTCTCAGGTGTATCACGGGGTTGCCGAGCCCCCACAGCCCATGGCAGCTCGGAGAAGGGGTCTGAGACCAGGAGGCTACACAGAGCTCTTAGGGGGCCCTTCCAAGGTCACAGCTGGCAGGTAGAAGCAGCCAGAGACGCCAGAGAAGAGGCATGGCTCACTTGGGCATAGGAGGCAGCACGTGCCATGTGGCCTCTGAGGAGAGGCCCGGGCCAGGGGGGAGGGAAGAGAGGTCAGTGGTGCCCCACATGGCTGTTGCCAGGTCTGCAGGTGCGCTGAGCCCAGCACAGGGCTCTGAGGGTCGCAGCTGCACAGGGCTGCTGGGGTCAGGCCCAGCTGGAACCGCCCAGGTGAGCCTGCCCCTGGGGGGAGTCACACCTGGTCTCTTCCCCTATTCTGTTCCCCCACCCTGGACCTTGTAGGATGCCTACTCGGAAATCGCCTACCTCTTCGCCGAGTTTTTCCGGGACCTCGACATCGTGCCGTCCGACATCATTGCCGGCCTGGTGCTGCTCCGGCAGCGGCAGCGGGCCAAGCGCAACGCCGTGCTGGACGAGGTGCGTGCCCGGCGCTACCCACCTCCCCAGGACTTCTCTGCAGGCCCTGCTGCCGCTGTGGGCCCGACAGGTGCCCCGCTTCCGTCCAGCCCCTTCGTTTCCATGGTCCCTCTGGGGCCCTGGAGGTCACCTCTTCCCGCTTGTTCCCTGTCCCCTCCCCAGCACATCCCTGCAGCGGCCATGCCATGGGCCCCCACTTAAGTGACCAGAAAAGACCCCTGGCCAGGGAAGACCCCCCAAGAGCTTATAATCACAGGGTCATCTGTCCTTACTGCTCTGTCTCAGCCAACGGGCAGTCCCATTAGGGTCTCTTGGCTTCTCATACAAAAATCCCCTCCCCGCAGAGTGATGGTGCTTTGGGTGGTGAGGGTGCGACTGGAGAAAGGGTGGAACCTCAGACCAGGCGAGTGGGAAGGACTGAAGGACCCCAGGCCTTTGGGAAGCAGGCGGAGCCTGGCGGCTGGACACCCCGCCCCCCACTCTCGGCCACATGCCCCACCTCACATGCCTGTTTTGCAGGCGAACAATGACATCTTGGCCTTCCTGTCTGGGATGCCAGTGACCAGAAACACTAAGTACCTCGACCTCAAGAACTCGGTGAGTCAGGGGTCACCTCCCACCTCCCCGCCAAGTTCCTTTCTCAGCCAGCGTGACCTGAGCCAACCATCTGCCTCTTTCCTGGAACACTAGCCGCCCTGTTCCTGACCTGGCCCCCTCGGCTCTCCCGAGAGCGGCTCTCTCAGATCACAGTCCCCCCAGAACCCCAGCATCATGCGGGTTCTGCACACGACACCCCAGAACCCCACGGCCAAGGCCAGGAACATTTGATCCCGGCCTTTTGAAATTGTCGAGGTCTCTGCCAGGGTGAGCGCCGCTTCTACAGAAGACAAAGCATTTGACCGTGTCGGTTTTCTAGTAGGAGAACTTGGTCCACGCTCCCTCCGTAGAAACCCAGGCTGTTAGAAGGAAAGGTGGTGCCTCCTGCTGGGGTACGCCCCAGACCAGAGGGAACCCACAGCCAGAGGCAGGGAGAACCGGCTCTTCCTGGGGAAGCAAACCAACTTGGTGTGCAACTCCTCCGCCCCCTGTCGCTGTGACCTGAGCAAGCCTTTCATCTCTTCCGAGCCTGGTCCTGCAGCTGTAAAATGGCACGCGGCGCACCTTCCAGCCGGAGCTAGGGTGGGAGGTAACTGGCTCGCCTCAGCCCAGGCCCCAGGCTAATGCAGTGAGCAGTGGCAGACGGCAGCCCTGGGCCATCTCAATCTTTCAAAAAAGCTACATTCCCCCACACCTCAAAGCAGCCCCGTCCACAGCAGGTGCTCCAAACCAGCCATCTCTGCTTACCACGGCCTGCTTTGGCTCACCCCGGCTGGTGCCTGCCACCTGACCAGGTTGGAGAGGGCAGGAGCAGGCAGAGGTGCTGGGGTCCACACCTGCCTGCTACCTACCTGGCAGAGGCTGCCAGGGCCGCACCTGCCCTCCCCGGCTGGCTGGGAGCTCCTGCCACAGACGGGATAATTACCCTCCCAGCCCGTTCCTGAAGAGCAGACACAGCCGGCCCAGGGCCTCTCCTCCCCTCTGGGCCTTGGTTAAGGCCTGCCTTTTCCACTTCACAGGATGACTAATCGCCCTCCTTAACTTTTACAAGCTGACTAATTCCCTCTAAGTGCTGGGGCACCAGGTGCCTGGGGGGCCGACCGGAACCCTTTGCTGGGACACTCTGCCCCCTGCAGCCCAGCGGACTCCCACATTTCTGCAGAGATCTCCATCCCCACAGACACACCCTCCCCCAGCCCTGGGAGCCGGGACTGATGGGTCAGGCTGGAGTCTCCCTGTGTTTACGAAGAACCCCAGGGCCAGAGAAATTTGGCAACTGCCCCGCTGCCCAAGGCCTGGACACCCACCCCCTCCCCGCAACACACAGCTTCCCCCATACCCCAGAGGGCCCAGGGCTTCCGTTCAACCTCCCAGGCTTAAATTTCCCCAAGAGCAAGGCTCCTTCCCAGGGCCTGAGCGCCGAGGCAGGGTGAGCCCCTCACTCTCTTCCCTCCCTTCTCGGGGAGAACGGGCAAGGAAATCGATCCAGTGTTCCAAGTGGTTTTCTGTCCCCAAATCATTAATTCCAAGGTTGGAGCAACAGGATGGGTCCCCAGAGGATGTGTGCCCTGGTTGTATGGAGATAATTAGGGAAACACAATTATCTTCCCAGGAGCAGGCCCTCCCCGCCAAAGCGGGCCAAGGCGGGCAGGGGGTGGGGGTGGGGGAAGAAGCTGGGGGAAGGGGGTGGCAGGCACCCCCTGCAGGAAGTGCAGGGCCCTGGGGCTGATGGGCGCACCCTCCACCTTGTGTCTCCCAGCAAGAGATGTTGCGCTACAAAGAGGTCTGCTATTACATGCTCTTCGCCCTGGCGGCCTACGGCTGGCCCATGTACCTGATGCGGAAGCCGGCCTGCGGCCTCTGCCAGCTGGCCCGGTCCTGCTCGTGAGTACCCGGTCCCCACGCCCCTGCCGCCACCCTGCCTGCCCTCCCGGCCGCAGGCTTGGATAATGAAGCTGGTGCCCGCAGAGGCGCCCCCTCAATCGGGCTGGGCCTGCTGCCCTGCCCCCAGTTCCCCCCACCCCACCCCGGGGCCTGTGTTGCTTTTCTTCTGAGCCTTTGCTGGAGCTCAGCCCGGAGTCCTGCATTGCCTGTCCTGTAGGCTCCGGCCTTCACCCAGTTCTGGGGTTTGAATCCCAGCTCGGTCACCTGCAGCCTTGGGCAAGATGAGCTATGCCGCGGAGCCTCAGTCTCTTCATCTATGAAATGGGGATACTGCTCGTGCAATTTGGGGCGAGGACTACGTGGGCTGTTGGGCGGAGTCTACACTGCAGCTCCTTGCACTTGGCTTGCTCTCGCTCCCCCTCTGGCCGGTCAGCCGCTCCCTTTCGCCCGCGTTTCCCGTCCTGTGCTCTGCCTTGCTGATAGTGAGGCCCAGTCCCAAGAGGTCTCCGGAAAGGCATCGGAAGTTCCTTCCTTTGGTTCAAAACTCCAACTGTCTTCCAAGGAAGTGGGAGAGGCCTCCGCCCCAGGTCTGACCGGCAGCCTGGCCCCGCCCTCACTCCACCCCCCTGGGCCCTCCCTGCTCTCCTAAGTGGGCCAGAGAAGGGCTCCAGGAAGAACTCCTCCCTCCCCTGGCGTCTCTGCCTCAACCCGGGCCGGGCAGAAGGAGGACAGTTCCCTGGGCACCTGTTCTGGAAAGCTGCCTGGCCGGGAGGGCAGCTTCCATCCCCGACACCTCCCTGCCCTCCGGGCCACAGCAGCCCCGCCCCCTGGTGGCTCCCAGGAGCTTGCTCTCCCTGTGCCCCCAGTGGCTGATCCCAGAGGGCTGGGGCGCTGTCATGTCCCCTTCCCGTCTTTGTCCTCTGCATATACCCAGCGCTCCTCTTCATGACCTAGGGAGTCCCAGCCCAGACGCGACCTGGGAGCTTGCAGGCCCCACGCCGGGTGAGGAGCCTCCATTTCCTTCTTGGTCACAGGGAGTTTCAGAATATGGGGAGCAGGTGCAGGCTGGGGCTGTCTCCTGCTATATGGACAGGAGGGGAGGCAGTGTTTGCTTCAGACTTCATAGGGCCAGAGAGAGAGAGACAGAGAGCAGAGTCCTCAGACCCCACAAGGGCCCAGCCAAGTCTCTCCCCAGAAGAGCCGGGGGGACCTGCGAGGCAGGGAGAGGCAGACCTGAGGCCCAGGCCTGCGTGTCAGCCACGTGCCACATGCAGCCACACGTGTCAGGTGGAGGCCAGAGGGCCGGACGTGCTTCTCAGTATCCTGGCCTGTCCACTGCAGCCCTGGCTCCCGCTGCGGGTGCAGGAGGGGGGGCTGCCCGCCTGGTGGGGTCCACGCCTTGCACCCGGCAGTAATTCTACCACCCCAGGCAGAGTGCGGCCAGCCAGGCCTGCCCTGTGGTCCAGCAAACCTTGGGAGGCCACACTGGGCTCTAGCCCCACCCTGGACATGGGGTCTGTCTCCTTCCTATCGGACAAGAGGTGTCATAGGCCAGGCTGGCCATCAGGTGCCTGTGGCCTCCAACCTCTCACTGGTCAGCCCCAGCCTCCTTGAGGTAGGAGCACTGCCCCAGGGGATGTCTGGGCTCCCAGCCCTGCTGTCCTTGTGGCTTTGCCTGTCTCAGATCACTAACTTGCCCTCTCTGGAGGGAAGAGCAGCCAACATTTATTAAGCACCTGCTGTGTGCTGGGCCCTTTCTGCATCTTGTACCTTTGGTCTCAGGCCAGCCTGGTGAAGTAGTCGTCTGCACCCCACTCTTACTGGGGGTGAAACTGAGGCCCAGAATGGCTGAGCGCCCTCCAGGCCTTTGCAGCCGGGAAGTGACACCCAGAGTGCGGATCTAAACATGTCTCCATCCTCCTCCTGTTGATCCCAGGCTCAGCTGAGGTGGGAGACAGAGGACCCAGGCCCACATTCACCTGACCTGGCAGCAAGTATATGGGCAGTGGGCTCGCCCCGGGGCCTGCAGCCACGCTCACCCTGTGGTGGCCCTCACCCCAGGACCAGTGGCTTTGGACACTTGGCTTAACCCTGGGCTTTCTCAGCGAGGCCTCGCCCTGCCAGGAGGAAACAGCCCCGCAGGTGCTGCTCCCAGTGAGATCAAACTGCTCAGCATCACCAAAATCCAAGTCTTCATAAATTCTCAGCTGTCGCCTGCTATCCCCTGGCAGGCCGCGGTCATGTGATACCAGGCTCCTGGTGCCCCATCCGTTGGGAGCTGGCTCCCTCTGGCGGCCTGCAGGGCAGCTGCACCCCCTCACGGGGTGCCCAGCTTAGCTGTGTGGGTAGGCTGCTGGGCGCCTGGCAATGACCACTGCAGAACAAGCCCTGCCTGGGGAGCCCACTGCCGAGACATACCCAGACAAGCAGAGCCATAGTGTGTCAGAGCAGATGCCTGGTCGGGCTGGGGATGCTGGGGTGGGAAGGGGGCTGAGGCAGGGCTGGCTGTCTGGGCGGTGGCCGGGTGGACCTCAGGAAGTGAGACCTGAAGGAAGTGAGGGGCGAGCCACGCAGTGTCCAGCAGAGAGAGCTGCAGGTGCAGGATCGCTGAGGCAGGAATGTGTCTGGCTCTGGTCTGAGGACAGGCAAGAAGGCTGGAGAGGAGCGAGCGGGGGGGGGGGGGGGCAGCAGGTCAGAGAGGCCAGGGCCCTCAGCCCTCGATAGGACTCGGGCTTCTGTACTGGGCAAGAAGGGCGTGGCTGCGGGGCTTTAAGTGACCCTTTCTTAAAAGGGTCAGGTGCAGCTAGGTTGAGTGGAGGGGTGAGTATAGCCGAGGGAGTTGGGGCGGAGCCAGAGATAATGGTGGGGGTGAGGGGGGCCGCCGAGGCTGACTGGAGGCTGGTTCTGAGTTGGAAGGCAGAGCCCACCAGAGGCTTAACTCGCAAGTGCAGGGGCTTCTTCCTGGGGGATGCGGGCTAGGTGTGCACTTGAGGGAGATGTGTGGGCAGCTCATGGAAGTGGCCGGAGGGCCAGAGCAGGCCCTGAGTGGATTCCTGAGCAGGGAACAGGGAGTGTAGCCCGAGGGAAGAGGAGGCCAGTGTCAGAGGCCTAGGAAGAGGGAGGGACCCGTGGGATCAGGTCAGCCAAGAGAAGGGCTGGGTACTGACTGGCTTAGACTTGGCAATGTGGAGTCCCTGGAGACCTAGCCAGGGCACATTGCGGGGAGGGAGTGGGGCTGGAATGGAAGAGAAACTTCCCTGCCCCCCCCCCAGGGTCCCCTGGCCCTGAGCCTTCTGCCGCCCACCCCAGGTGCTGCCTGTGCCCCGCACGGCCCCGGTTCGCCCCTGGGGTCACCATTGAGGAAGACAACTGCTGCGGCTGCAATGCCATCGCCATCCGGCGCCACTTCCTGGACGAGAACATGACCGCGGTGGACATTGTCTACACGTCCTGCCACGACGCGGTGAGGGCCGGGGTCTGAGCTCAGGACCAGCTGCTCGGGGTCTCGGGTGCCACGGGTGTTCCCCTGGGCCAGCACTGGCTGGCTGCGGCCTCCAGGCTGCCCTTGGGTGGGCCTTCTCCCCTTTCACCCCCCTCTCGGGCCTGCACCACTTCTTGGGCTGGGAAAATGGCCCATCCCGGGGCCACTCAGCGTCACGAGCTGCCCACCCTCTAGGTCTATGAAACTCCCTTCTATGTGGCAGTGGACCATGACAAGAAGAAGGTGGTGATCAGCATCCGCGGAACCCTGTCCCCCAAGGTACGCTGCCTGCGGCCCTGCACAGCCCTGGTGCCCTCACAGCCCCGGGTGTGCCTGCCTCCGACTTCCTGTCCTCCTCATCTGCTTCCTCTCTCCCCAAGGACGCCCTGACCGACCTGACGGGCGATGCTGAGCGCCTCCCCGTGGAAGGCCACCACGGCACCTGGCTGGGTCACAAGGTACCTGCCTCACGGGCTCCTGGGGGCCTGTGGCCTTCGCCCTCCACAGCTGCTGCTGGGAGGGCTCCTCCCACTCACTGCGGGAGGCTGGTCAGAGGTGTGCGTTCATTAGGGTGGCCCACCTGCTGGGCCCCCACAGCCCTGCCTGAGGAGGGAGCTGGGAAGAGATCACACCTGTGTCTGTTAGACGCCCCCCGCAGAGGGATGGAGAAAGACAGATCTTCCACCTAGTGGTTCATCCCTCAAATACCCACAACAGCTGGGGCTGAGCCAGGAACTCCATCCAGGTCTCCTATGTGGATGGCAGGGACCCAAGTCCTTCAGCCATCATATGCTGCCTCCCAAAGAGTGCATTAGCAGGAAGCTGGAATGGGGAACAGAGTTGAGACTCAAAGCCGGGCACACCGATGTGGGATGCACCCCGAGCAGCAGCCTAACTGCTGCCTCTGAACCTCAGTTTTCTCATCTGTGAAACGGGGATTCTATGGCCAAGGTGTCCGCCAGCCTCCAGAGCCAGGTGGCTATGAGTATCCAAGGGGGAGATGGGGGGGGCGGGGCTGATGAGCTTGGGTCCCTGTGGCTTTGCTGGCCACCGGGAGGCCTGCCGTCGACTTCCCACTCTGTTCCTCGGCACCCAGGGAATGGTCCTGTCGGCCGAGTACATCAAGAAGAAGCTGGAGCAGGAGATGGTTCTGTCCCAGGCCTTCGGGCGAGACCTGGTGAGGCATTTCCCGTCCTGCTGAGTCCCTCCCATACCTGCTCTCCCTCCTGGGAGGCCGCAGGAAAAGAGGAGAGGGTGGGTGGCCGGTGGCGGCCCCCTACCCCGTTCCCCCAGGCTTTCAGACCCTCTGTGGCCCAGAACCCAATCCCCTCCTTGCTCTGTGCCTCGGACCCTCACCCTTGTACCAGCCCCTCCAGGGTGCCCTGCTCAGCCCACCCACACCTGTTGAGCACCTGCTCCACGCAGGCGCTGGAGGCACAGAGGTGATGCAGGCTGGGGACCTCTGCAAAGTTGGGGAACAGAGTTGGAGAAGCTCCACATATGCGGCAGAGTGGCAGTGAAAATCATTACTGAGCCCCGCAGCCACGCCGAGACCCTGCCTGCTGCGCTCTCCAGAATAAAGCAGTCCCTGGCCTCGGGAGGCTCCGTCCAGCAGTTGGGTGATTCTAACAGAGTGTGACCACTCTAGTGACAAAAAAAGATCCATCCCAGCTGCGCAGCAGTGCCTCGGAAGGAGTGGGCCCTTCCTGGAAAATCAGGGAGGGCTTCCCCAGGGAGGTGGCCTCGGGGCACGGCTTTGAAGGATAAGTAGGAGTTTGTCCCTAGGAAGCCGCTCTGTAGGGACCTGGAGGGGTTCTCCGTGTGCCCTGGCAGCCGGGAAGGAAGGCAATAGGGTGGGCCACTCAGGCTCCTCTTGGCCCCCAGGGTCGCGGAACCAAGCACTACGGCCTGATTGTGGTGGGCCACTCGCTGGGTGCCGGTACTGCCGCCATCCTCTCCTTCCTCCTGCGCCCGCAGTACCCGACCCTCAAGTGCTTTGCCTACTCCCCCCCGGGGGGCCTGTTGAGGTGAGTGGGAAGGGGCAGGTGGGGTGGGGGCAGGTGGGACCACTGGGGGCTGAGGGCTGGCTGGGGCTGGACAGGGCTGAGCCCTGGCCAGTGCTGGTTGCTGCACTGGACAGTCTGACTTCTGGTCTCCAGGCCAGTGGAGAGTTGGGGGTGGGGGTTGGAGCTTTGTAAAAGGCCACATGGACCCTTGGATCCCCCCGGCAAGCAGAGCAGGGGGCAGACAGCCAGCCCAGCTCCTGCCAGCTGCCTGCAGGCTGGAAGCTGACCCCAGCAGTGCTCCCTCAGCTCTGGAGCCCCTCGACCCCTGCCCCTTGGCCTGAGCTGCACCCTGGCTTCCTTTGCAGTGAGGACGCCATGGAGTACTCCAAGGAGTTCGTGACCGCTGTGGTTTTGGGCAAAGACCTCGTCCCCAGGCGAGTCAGTCCCTTCTGCAGGCCTCACCCCACTCCCTGGCCGCCTCCCCACTCTCAGCTGCCCAGTAGCGAGAAGAGGGGGATAGGCAGGCTGGCCCTCGCCCTGCTGGCCCTCCTTTCCTCGACTCTGCTCTGCCGTCCCCCGGACTCCCCCTGCCACCATGACCCCAGCTGACTTGCCTTGTTCCTGGGGGCCTGCCCTGCTGCCCCCAGCCCCTGAGCCGGCCAGGCTGACGGCTCCGGTCCTGCTGCTCCCCAGGATCGGCCTCTCCCAGCTGGAGGGCTTTCGCAGGCAGCTCCTGGACGTCCTGCAGCGCAGCACCAAGCCCAAGGTGAGCCCAGCCGGGCACGCCGGCCTCCGGGCAGCCTTGTCTGTCCCTCCTGTGACAAAGTACCAGAGGCCCGAGCCATGTGAGGCCAGGGCAGGGGTAGGGTAGGGGTGGTGGTAGGGGAATTTCAGGCTAAAAGACCCTAGGCACTTCCAGGCTCAACCTGTCCAGCCCCTGTCATATACAGATGGGGAAACTGAGGACGAGTGGAAGGGACTTGCTTTTTGCTCACGTACAAGGTGGAACCAAGCCAGGCCTGGGAGTGCAGGGTTCCCATCACCCGGAACTGCCCGATGCCAGAGAAGGGAAGCCCACGTGCTCTGAGTGGGTGAAGCAAAGGCCTGCGGCTTTTCTGATTTGCTGGGCAGCCAGGTAGAGGGCCAGCCCTTCCTAAGCCACAGCAGGCCTTTGGAGGACCTGGGGCCCTTCCTGTGCAAGTTGGCCTGTAGCAGGCTGGAAGGTGGGCAGGGGTTCTGGGGTCAAGCGCGCTGGGGCAGACCAAAAGCAGGACGGAAGCACACTGGGGCCGGCAGGTCCTGTGTGTGGTGAGCCTCCTGCATCAGCCTCCAGGTAGCCCTCACCCCACGCACTGTCTCAGCCCGGCCTGGGCTGCAGCAGCTTTGGGGCCTGGGGTGCCAGGTCAGGGATAGGGCAGCAAAGCTTTGTGGGACTTGTCTTCCTGGAGGAGCCTGCTTCTGGGGAGGCAGAACCACCAGACCCAGGCCAGGACACTTGAGAGGCAGGTGGCTGGGAGCTGACGGAGACACGGCCAGGCCTGGCAGGTGCAGCTGGGGCCTGCTTTGCCTCTGACTGCCGAGCGACCCCGCACCACTCCCTTCCCCTCACTGGGCCTGTCTCCCCATCCACTAGATGAGGGCTTGGCTGGTCTCCTAGCCCTGGGCCAGCCCTGAAATTCAGCAATTCCATGTCATCTGTCCTTGGCTCCTTAGTGGCCACCTGGCCACCGTACGCCTCAGCCACTGCCTCTTCAGGTGGGCACCGACCTTTCCTGCTCTAGCCACCGCCCTTCCCCGGCCCTCACTGCCATCCCACCTCTGACCTCTCACCTACTGAACCCTCCTCCTGAGCACCCCATACCCCTGCCCACCCAGTGCTGTTCAGCTCTGTCCCCGTCTCCCCTCACCCCACCCAGTGGAGAATCATCGTGGGGGCCACCAAATGCATCCCCAAGTCGGAGCTGCCCGAGGAGGTGGAGGTGACCACCCTGGCCAGCACACGGCTCTGGACCCACCCCAGTGACCTGACCATCGCCCTCTCGGCCAGCACCCCGCTCTACCCGCCCGGCCGGATCATCCATGTGGTCCACAACCACCCTGCTGAGCAGTGCTGGTAGGTGCTGCCTGGGGTCCTGGGCCCACTGCTGCAGGGGGCAGTGTCCAGGGCAGGGGCTGTGTGATCAGAGGCTGTGGAGGGCTGATCAGAGGGCTGGGATGGGGGCAGAGGCTGAGGGATAACAGCCCAGGACCCCCACAGCAGGGCTTTCTCAGACCCTGGACATGGAACAAAGGGTCAGCCCAGAGCAGGACTCCAGGCTCCTCTCTGGTCAGTCCCAGCCTCCATCAGGGTCGGCCTGGTGTTACCCAGGGCATCTCTCCTGTGCACACTTAAAAGCGCGTGCCCTGGAGTGACGGGTCAGTCAGCTTTGTCACTACAGTGGATTACCCAAGGCAGGTACCTTTACAAAGAACAGAGGTTTATTTAGCCCACTGTTTTGGAGGTTCAAGTCCAGGGTGGAGTGGCCTCATTGGTTTGTCATCTGCTAAGAGTTTCCGATGGCAGGGGTGCAGTGTGTGTGGAAGGATCGTATGGCCAGCCAGGAGCAGAGTGAGAGTGGGCCGCACGCAGGCTTTTGTAACAGTCCTGTTTAGGGGACCCAGAAGGTCACAAGAAACCTCCCTTCCCAGGGCCTGAGGCCTTCCCATCAGGCCCCACCTCCCAAACCCATCACTGGATTCCATTCCTGCCCTCTTAGTGCCATTAACTGAGACCTGCAGGAGTTCAGGGACCAAATCATATTCAAACCACAGCAAGGGATCACCCCACAGCCTGGGGCATCTCACGCCCTGTTGCTGTGAGGATGGTGGCTGGGCAGGAGAGGTGGGGAGTGGGCCATTTGATGGGCTCCTCCCACTTCCTGCACTGTCAGAGGGTTGGGGCCGCCCTCCCAGCATGGGCTGCCTCCACTCACAACTGGGGCCCTGCCCAGGGTGGAGCAAAAAGCAGGCAGGAGGCTAGGTAGGAATCGTGGCTGAGGCTCCAGTTTGCCTGTCCCAGGCTGAGGGCCAGGGAGGAGCAAGGAGCCAGGTCCCAGGGACACAGCCTTACTGGCTGGGTCAGGCTGAGGACCTCGGAGGCAGGGAGGTGGAGCAGAGCCAGGGCCCAGGGCCCAGGCTTCCACCCCTGCCCTCACTTGCCCTGCCCCCCTCAGCTGCTGTGAGCAGGAGGAGCCCACGTACTTCGCCATCTGGGGCGACAACAAGGCCTTCAACGAGGTGATCATCTCGCCGGCCATGCTGCACGAACACCTCCCCTACGTGGTCATGGAGGGGCTCAACAAGGTGAGCCCCACTGGCAGCTAAGGCGCCCTCAGCCACAGTCCCCAGCTGGACCCTAGGGGTGAGGGACTGGGGGGTGGGCAGGAAGCCCGGCAGGAGTTCCGGGCTGTTTCCCATCAGCCCACTGCCCCGTGGGGAGGAGTTTAAGAGGTTCCCAGGGATCTGTCCCCAAGGCAGGCAGGCTAAGCCAAGAGGCCATGAAGGCCACCTGGCCTGTAACAGATGCACAGCCAAGTGGCAACAGGCTCAGCCAGCCCCTTGGCTACTGAACACAGGCAAGATGCATCCAGCCTCACAGGCCTGTGTCTTGTGGGCAGGTCCCAGGCCTTTCACCTTCCATAAGGAACAGGGCCCCTGGGTGGAGGAGGGGGAGGAGGAGAGTGGAACCCAACTGGCCCCAGGACTGGGCCTGCCCTGCCCCACCCCCTCCCACCTCTCCTGTCCTGTCCCAGGTGCTGGAGAACTACAACAAGGGGAAGACGGCCCTACTCTCTGCTGCCAAGGTCATGGTGAGTCCCACCGAGGTGGATCTGACTCCCGAGCTCATCTTCCAGCAGCAGCCACTGCCCACAGGGCCACCCATGCCCACTGGCCTGGCGCTGGAGCTGCCCACTGCAGGTCATCCCAACAGCAGTGTCAGGTGAGTCCTGGCCCCTGCCTGCCCCACCCTAGGGGCGTGTGCAGGCACCCAGAGTGTGGTTCAGAGGGCCCTCACCAAGCTCAGCACTCACACACAGCGATGCAACTTGCCCCTCTGCTCCAGCTGTCCCCGGCCTCCTGTCACTGAAGGGGCCTGTGTCTCAGACGGCTCCCCATGTGGGCCAGGAGACAGCTAGGCACACCCAGACCCAGAAACCCTGGGCCCCCCACACAGAGATTCACTAAGACCCAAACACGTGGCCACACATACATATGTATTTGCATACACACACATATGTGTATATGTATTTATATCAGAGCTTTTCTGCAGGCACATATCTATACACAGATGGCCCCAGACTCACACATAAAGGACCACACCAAGACAGAGACGCATACACAGGGACACATGTACGTGGACATGCATGTGAACATACATGACATCTGGTGCACACTGCACATAAACACAGATGTGTGTGCACACGCTCACAGGTGCACACTCACCCAGGCTGCAGACACGCCTGAGCCACGCGTCCCTTACTGGGTGTCAGGCCCTCAGGCGGTAGCCCATCCAGGGGAGAGCTGTCCTGCCTTTGTGGGACTTTTCCTGCCCCTCTCCGTGACTGCCAAGAAGGGGGATGGCTGCTTCCTGGCCCTTGGTTGAGACACCCGGAGGGTCCCTCCCTGCCACTTCAGAGTTTCCTGTGGCAGCTGCCCGGCAGGATGCAGGAGCCAGTGTCCTTTCTCGGCCACCATCCTGCAGCTGCCACACACTCCCCCCTTCTCTCATTCATTCCCCACAGGCTGCTGCAATGGAGCAAGGGGCTTCTGGTCCCCTCCAGCAGAAGGCTACAGCCATGGGAGAGGCAGGAGGAACCCCAGGATGAGGGAGGGGGGATGGCACAGGGGGCGCTCGCCCTCTTCCTCCTCTCTTTCTCCACCCCCCCCCTTCTCCCCTCCCACTGTGGCCTCATGATGGACCTGGGGCAGCCAGTCCCAGCCCCAGCCAGTGCTCCCAGCACAACTCAGGAACTCAGGGCCCCTGGCACATGCCAGCATCAAGCCTGGTCTTTCAACTTGGTTGGAGTGCTTGTGAATTTTTTCATTTTGAAATCAGGATTCCTTGCCCCAAGTTAAAGACCTTGTCCCTGTGACTTCCTGCCAGTCGGGGAGCTGGCCTGGGGGTGTGGGCGGCCTCTCTGAGGCGCTAACACTCACCCCGCCTCCCCCCCCCACCCCCACCCCTGCAGGAGCAAGTCCCAGTCCGAGATGAGCCTGGAGGGTTTCTCCGAAGGGCGGCTGCTGTCCCCCGTGGCCGCGGCAGCCCGCCAGGACCCCGTGGAGTTGCTGCTGCTGTCCACGCAGGAGCGGCTGGCGGCGGAGCTGCAGGCCCGGCGGGCGCCGCTGGCCACCATGGAGAGCCTGTCGGACACCGAGTCGCTGTACAGTTTCGACTCGCGCCGCTCCTCGGGCTTCCGCAGCATCCGCGGCTCGCCCAGCCTCCACGCCGTGCTGGAGCGCGACGAGGGCCACCTCTTCTACATCGACCCCGCCATCCCGGAGGAGAACCCGTCGCTGAGCTCGCGCACAGAGCTGCTGGCGGCCGACAGCCTGTCCAAGCACTCGCAGGACACGCAGCCGCTGGAGGCGACGCCAGGCAGCGGGGGCGTCACCCCGGAGAGGCCCCCCAGCGCGGCAGCCAATGAGGAGGAGGCGGCGGCGGCGGCGGGCAGTGGTCCCGCCCCCAGCCCTGCCCCCGCCCCCGCCCCTTGCGGGGAGCTGGCGCTGCACAACGGGCGCCTGGGGGACTCGCCCAGCCCCCAGGTGTTGGAGTTCGCCGAGTTCATCGACAGCCTCTTCAACCTGGACAGCAAGAGCAGCTCCTTCCAGGACCTCTACTGCATGGTGGTGCCTGAGAGCCCCACCAGCGACTACACCGAGGGCCCCAAGTCCCCCAGCCAGCAAGAGATCCTCCTCCGGGCCCAGTTCGAGCCCAACCTGGTGCCCAAGCCCCCGCGGCTCTTTGCCGGCTCGGCCGACCCCTCCTCGGGCATCTCGCTCTCGCCCTCTTTCCCCCTCAGCTCCTCTGGGGAGCTCATGGACTTGACGCCCACGGGCCTCAGCAGCCAGGAGTGCCTGGCAGCCGACAAGATCCGGACTTCCACCCCCACGGGCCATGGGGCCAGCCCGGTCAAGCAGGATGACCTGGTCATCTCGGCGCGTTAGCACCCCCACAGCGGCTGCCAGCTGAGGCCCAGGCCAGAACAGGTGGCTGCCCCTTAGCTGGGCAGCTTTGAGGAGAGGCCCCTGGGGCCAGGTAGCCCCAGGCATGGGGCCTCACTGCTGAGCTTGGGGGGTCTGCATCCCTACCTCAGCCTAGGACCCCCAGAGCCAAGGTGGCTGGGATCTGGTCTCCCAGATGGGGAAAGGTGGCAGAGCCTGGGCCATCCTAAGCCTGACTGCCCCCAGCAGGGGCACCTGGCACCCCCTGTCCTGGGCCAGGCCTTGGGAAGCTGGCTCCCCTCGCTGCCCTCTGGCTGCATTGCCAGGGCCATGATGGTGAGCAGCCCCTGCACACGTACTCTCATCTGCGGGCCAGGCTGGCACTTGCCATGGCCACCCCCCCAACCCCCAGACCTGGTGCCTGCTGGCGGCCCACAGTGCTGTGTATGTTTACAGAAGCTGCTGGGCTGGCTCAGGATGTACCCTGGGCATGCAAGCCCCTTGTGCCCTCCCACCCACCGCCACCTGCCCTGTCACGTGGTCAGTAACTTCCTTTCTGGGCAGGGCCAGAGGCAGCCCAGGAGCCTGGCAGGGCTTGGTGGAGAATGGGGTAAGAGTTGCCCCTTCTCTGCCAGTACCCCTTATGCTAGCCCCTCTGGCTGTGGGTCCTGGGCACACTTGGCCCCAGGGCTCCCAGCCACTCAGAGGGCGGTGGGCACTGCTGTGGCACCCCTGGCTGCAGACTCAGTGCCCTTGGAGGAGCGAGGCCACTGGGCTCCTCCTTCCTCCAAGTGTCCCCCAACTCCCTATGTACCTCCCCCACCCAGTGCCTAGGCAGCTCTGGGCCCTGGGATCTGAAACCAAACACTCCTCTGTCCACCTCACCTCTCTCCTCACTGGCCTGCGCTCCTACCGGGAACTGGGTTTTCTTCCCTCCCACCCCCGGTATCCTACTGGCAGGAAGTGGGGCCAAGAGGTGGGTATTGTGGGACTTGGCAAGACACCCTGTGCCCGCTGCCCAGGTTGGAGGCCAGGAGGACAGGGGGTTGCCCTGGTTTAGCCTGAGGCTCCCATAGGGGTTCCTTCCCTGTTGGGTTTGGGAGGCAGCTGGGAAGGTGGAGACTGCCTTTGTCCAGAGGCAGGAGGGGGGGAGGTTGTGCATGCTAGTGTCAGGCGTGTGTGTGCATGTGCATGAGTGTGCACCATTCCTGAGGAAGGGGTTGCTGGGGACTGCCCACCCTACCTGCCCTGCCTGCCTGCTGCGTCCCCCAGCCTGCCAAGAACACAGTGAGCATGATGGGGCCTGCAAGGTGGGGCCTCAGGAGGAGCTCAGTTTCAGACACCACTCTTTCCCCTTTTCTCACCTGCTGCTCTGACCCCTAGTTTGGAAGACGCCTGTACCGTGTAGCAGGCGCTGACTGCCTGCTGGTGCCTTCGTCCCCTTGGAGGCATGATCCCTCCCAGTCTGGCCCTACCCACAGCCTCCCTGGGCCGCCTGGGCTCCCCTGACCAAGACCCCATCTCGTGATCACTGCGGCCTGGAGGCAGAACCTTGATCCCCCACCCCTCACATGGCTGCCCGGGCTGGGGGCCCTGGGAGCACCTGCCAGCCCTGACAGATGGGGACAGAGACCCGGGAGCTGGGCCTCCCGCCTCGTCTGTGATGCACCCTCACCTGTCTCCAGGACACTCTTCCCCTGCTGAGGCACAGCCCCAGCCCAGCACAGAAGCAGGACAAAATCACAGGCTCTTAGAGCTTAAAAAGACAAAATATTAAATCAGAAAAAAAGTTCCAACAAGCACCCAGCCAGTAGCAGCGAGAGACTCGGTGTCTGGCCTTTTAATTCCTCCTGTGCCAGGGTGGGTCCTAAGCCCCCTTAAGGTGGGCGTATCACCCACCCATGCCCAGGCCTGAGCCATCAGGGACAGACCCCCCCAACCCCAAGGCTGCAACCACGCCATGTTACAGGCTTGGGGCTGGGGCAGGCTTGGACTCAGCCCTGGATACCCAGGGTCAGCCCCCTCACTGGCCCCTCCCCACCAGCCCCAGAAGGATGGGCCTGCTGCACGTCTCACTCCTCCACCCCATGCCGCATTCGGGGGGGTCTGAGCCACCCCCCTCAGCCCAGCTCGGCTCAGCCCGACCCCCACTCCGTCCCCCAGACCCGCAGCACAAGCTCTGCCAGCCACATGCTGGCCTGCCCTCCCGGGGCCTGGGTGACCTCCATATGCAATGGGTAACGAGCGCCGGGCCCCACACACCCTCACGCACTCTCTACGTGCCATTCTCCCGTGACTTTTTTTTGTACTTAATGTATGAAAGATCCACACTAATATTGCTGTAAAAAGGAGAGACAGATTAATATAGCTTATTCTATAAATATATCTGTATATAAAGGTTTCTGTATATTGTATAGAGCTATGTATAAACTGGATGTAGAAGCACACTGGCTGCCTCGAGTGACTTATCAGCGGGTGAGTGATGGGTACGTGCCTGGCTCTAACCAAGAAGCCCAAGGTGAGAACTGAGGTTCCCTAAGACCAAGCCTGCCTGACTGCAAAGATGCAGGTGTGTTCGGCAGCTTGGGTGCTGTATCTGGGTTAAAACTGAGCTGCTCGGCCTTGGCCGTGGGCCCCTGCACCCTAGGCTCCCTTGCAGTGTCAGGTGCTAGCGGCATTTCTCACCCACGCCTGCGCTGCCCATATCCTGGCCCAGCATCGGGCTGTGTGTGATTCACAGCACAGAGGCAGGAGACCCTCAGGGCCCAGGCGGATGGGAGCAGCCCGAGTCCCGCCTGTGTGAGAGGGCTACCAAGGGACTGACGTTCTCCTGTTGCCGAGCCCTTAAAAGACAGCCGGTCGGCAACTCCTTTTTCCTCTCTGAGGACTGAAGCCCAGAGCGTGCCAGTGAGCTGCCCATCTCTGCAGAGCCAGGAACTGGGGTACTGACTACGCATACCCAGCACTGAAATGCAGGGACCACTGGAAGCCTCAGCTGAGGGATTCCCATGGAGGGCACAAGACACCTGGACAAGCCCAGAGCACCCCAGGAACCCCTGCCCAGCCTGGCTTCAGGGAGCGAGGTGCGGGGAGCGGTTGGAGGCCCAGGGTAGAAAAGCAGCTGGGCCTCCTGCCAGTCCCAGGCGGGCTCCTTCTCCCTCTGCACAGCAGGGGGCGCTGTTCCTCCAGACTGGCCTATGAGCTGAGCCAGCCAAGTTTTAGACTTGACCTTCCTCTTTCCCACCCAGCCTGGCACTCCAAGTCCAGAATGACTGTACTTGGTGAAGGGCTGGGGAGTCACAAAAGTGCTCTCGGCTTTGGAGTCTCGGAACAGGAGAGGAGACTGAGACCTGATAAGGGTCAAGGTCCCACAGGAGGTGGGGACAGACCTGGGACCAGAACCCAAGCCTCCCTACCTGGAACTCCAGCCTCCACCTTCACCTACTGGGGTGCAGAGGCTTCTCCCTTTGCCGGGAGTGGGGCCGAAGCCTAGGAAAGTGGGGTTCAGAGAGGTCCTGGGCTTGCCTGGGTCACACAGCAGAGCTTGGTGAGGGGCAGTGCTGGCTGAGCAGGACTCGGCCTTGCCTGTCCCCGTGCCGGACCTGCAGACGGTTCCTCCTGGAGTCTCGGAGGGAAGTCTCCTGGCAGCCGCCCCACACCCTGTCGGTGTTGCCATCACCCAAGTCCAGGAAGCTGCACCCTGGCCTCACTGACTCACTGGGTTCACACTCACCACCCTAGGGCCTTCCTCTTTCCCCCTGGCAAATGGGCTGCTGCCAGGGCTGCGTGGGCCCAGGGGAGGCCAAGCGTCCCGGGTTAGGAGGCCCCTCCTCCTCCTGGACTGGTCTCCTTGCCCGTTACTCATTAGCCCTTGGATTGCCTGGGTCCCTTTCCCTGGGAGAGCCTTCTGGTCCTACTGCCCCCCAGGGCCAGGCAGGGGCTCCAGAAACCCGAGAAAGCAAAAGCACCACTTATTGATCACATGCCTGGCCCTCTAGCTGCACTGGAAGGCCGGAACAATGAGTGCGCTCCCAAGGGCCAGCGGGCAGGCCTTGGGGAGCAGGCTGGCTGGCCACAGGGGACCACTGTGCTCGCTGCGCTGGGCTGAGTCTGTCCCACACTGAGGGAAGCGTGGTGGAGTAGAGCGAGGACACGGATGGGGCCCACCTTCATGGCCAGGGTCCTAGTCCATCAGCCCCAGCTATTACCCTCTGCCCAGCCTCGGCTCCAGGCATGCTTGAGCCTCCACTCCATTGTGGACTTGGGGGGCGATGGCAGCCTTGACTCCTAGCTGAGCCCTTGTCTCAGACATGTTAACCACCAACCGCAGGAGAAAAGCCCTGGGCCAGTTGCCCCCAGCCTGGCCGGCTCCCACGGGAGACACTGGAGGTTCCCCGTCCAACTTCAAGGCTACCCCAGGGACCGGATAATCTATCAACTTACTAACGAGGAGGTGGAGCACCTTCCCCCACCGCAGCCCAGGGGCCCGGACAGGGAAGGAGGAAGGCACGGGATGGCCCTCCAAGGGTGCGTTCAGGCACCACGAGGGCTACGGAGGAAAGACCTGGGGTGGGTGGAGGTGATCGAGAAGCTGGTAGCTCAGCAAAGGAAGCCATCTTGTAAAATCCCACGGTGTAGGCGGGTGTGTGTTTTGTCCACGGGCAGGCCTGACCCCTGGTGGAAGAGGGGCAGAGGAGGGGGTAGAGGGCAGAATAACAATTGTCTCAAGGGAGTCTGCAGGGAGAGAAAGACTTCTGGGGCGGATCAGCTGGAAAAGAATAGGCATCTCAGTGCGGCCCCTCTCCCCCCTCTCAGCCCAGCCCCTGGGGGTGGGGGCGGGACAGCATCGGTCAGCACACACAGCTGGGGCCTCCAGCAGAATCCCATTCTATATATCTAAGAGCAACAGCTCGGAGAGCGGAGAGCGGCCCCCACAGGGACAAAACCTCATTGTGAGGCGCCCGCCGGCCTGGGCACCCCCTCCCCCAACCCTAGAACTGTCCTGGTATTGACCCTCCTCGGCGGGCCACCGCGGGCCTGCTGACTGGGCCACATCTGGGGCTCAGTCACCGCTGCCCCTCCCCCATGGCTGGCCACCGAGGAGGAGAAGGGAGGCTGGGGGAGGCAGCGGGCTTCTCCAGCTCTCCCCACAGCGTCTGGGGTCACTGGCTGGTTGGCCTCTTCATCGGCCCGCAAGGCCTCCCAGCCCTCCCAGCCTCAGTTTCCTGGTTTGTCCAGCAGTGCTGGGTGACAGCGTTTCCCAGCTCTGAATCCCATGGCTTAGGGTCCGGGGAGGCTGCGGTTGGCCGGAGTTCAGCCGCTCTGGAACGGGACGATCTGCCACGTGCCGAGCACCTGCTGTTTGCCGGGCAGTGTTTCCTCGGTGTTGAAGCTACAGCGATGACCAAGACAGAAAAATCGTTTGTCCTCATGGGGCCCTTCCGTTCTAGAGCAGGAGAAGGATGAGGCGAGAAGGACCAGCATGGCTTAGGCAGGTGGAATCGCTTTAGGCAGGGTGGCCAGGGCGGCAATGTGTGGACTGAGACCTGAGCGCTGAGGAGGAACCAGCCAGGTGGGACGAGTGCTGTAGACAGATGGAACAGCACATGCCAAGGGCCTGTGGCAGCTGTGGGCCTGGCATGTGTAAGCAATGGCAGGTGTCACAGGAAACACCTCACTGAGGCTGCCTTCACCGGCTTTGGGAGAATCACCGGGGGCTGGTAGTAAGCAGGTTAAGCTGCTGCCTGCAATGCAGGAATCTCTCATGGTTACAGGTGAAATGGCGGCGGAGAAAATATTACGCTTAACCTGTCTGACTCCTCACAGCATCAGAGCGCCAGTTCGAGTCCCAGCTGCTCTGCTTCCAATCCAGCTCCCTGCTGATGCACCTGGGAAAGCAGTGGAAGATGGCCCATGTGCTTGGGCCCCTGTGCCCACGTGGGAGACCCCAGCGGAGTTCCAGGCTCCTGGCTTTGGCCTGGCCCAGCCCTGGTCGTTGTAGTCACATGGTGAGTGAACCAGCAAATGGAAGATCTCCCTCTGTTGCTCTGCCTTTCAAATAAACAAATTTCTGAAAAAAGAAAAAAATTCACCAAAACGTATAGAGCGAGCAGAGCTGGGGTGATTGGACACAACACAAGGAAGCAGAGGGCAGCGTGTCAGATGGCAGCACAGACCGTAATCTGAGGGCTATTCCTCTAGCAGCAGGTCTCAGTTAGGGGGACTGTTGCCCTGTGTTTACACGGGGGCAGTGGTTACAGTAAGGACCACCACCCCAGAAGCATTCTGCTGGTAACTGAGTATTTCCTCCATTAGGGTGATTTCCCGGGGCGGAGCTGGGAGCTCCTATCCGCGTTACCTTAGGGGACTCCACCAAGTGCCCCAAGGCCACCTGCCCTGCAAGGAGGCATTGGTGGCTGTGTGGGCAACGGAGAGAAAGGCTGTTGAGAGAAAGGTGTTGAGGCAGGGGTACAGGCAGGGGTGGGCCACCCAAGGCCTGGGAACCGGATCGAGAGGTTCAAGTCAGAGGGCCAAGGGAAACCACTGGTTTTAGGAAAGCATTGGCGTTGTCTGATTGATGTCTTTTAAAAAAAATGATTGGAAGGTTCTAGAGATCCCTGGAAGAGAGGCTGTGCAGCTGGGTTAGGACGGAGATGAGAAGGCACTCACGGGTGGCGGCAGGAGAAAGGAGCGATGGGTTTATCTAGGACATCCTTCCAAGTAAAGTCTTCCAGACAGGGCAGCTGTGAGTGACGCTGGATCCCTGGGTCAGCCGGGATCTGGCCCTGAACCCCAATGACCTTGAAACTCAGACCTGCATTGTTCCGTACTATAACCACATGTGGCTATTTAAAGTAAATAAAATTCAAAAACCAGTTCCTTAGTCCCAATAGCTATATTTCAGGTGCTCATGGAGTGGCTCCCATACTGGACCACACAGAAAACACCTCCATCATCATAGACAGTTCTACGAGACAGGTCCCAACCCATTAAGCCTCAGTTCCCTCATCTGAAGAACACATATAATAATGGCATCTCCTTGGCACGGTGCCTATGAGGGTTGAATGAAATGGCAACTGAAAAGTCTCAGTGCAGGCTGTAAGTTACTGATGAAATGCGTGGACCAGGAGAGGAATTGGGGTGCGAGCCTCTGAGGTTCTGATAACCTAAGATTTAGACTCCTAATTCTTGCCCTGGAGAGGGAAAGAACAGCGAAGGCCGAAAGACGCCGCTGACCCCAGGCCCAGTCCACCGCGACCCTGGCCAAGCCGCCCTGAGTCCCTCGAGTCGGCTGGGACCCCCTGCGCCCAGCGCCTCCTGAGGCAGACGCGCGCGCACGCTGCCCGCGGCTGGGTTGCGGCGCGGGGCGCGCCGGCAGGGGGCGCTGTGCGCGGCGGGCGGGGCCCGTGGGGCGGGCAGGGGCCGGGCCAGGACCGCGCGGGGGGCGAGCGGGGCGGCGGACCCGGCGGGACCGCAGCCGGAGCCGAGCCGCGACTGTAGCGCGGGCCGCGCCGGCGATGCCGCGCCCCCGGGCCGGGCTGTAGCGGGGCCGCGGCTGGAGTGCGCGCCGGGCAGGCCGCGCCGGGCAGGCCGGACATGGAGGTGGTGGACGAGACGGAGGCGCTGCAGCGCTTCTTCGAAGGTGAGATCCGCGGGACGCGACCCTCTTGTGCTGAGACCCTCAGTGCATCTCCCCCGGGGCTGGGACGCCCCACTGTGTCCCCACCACTCCACGAGCCCCCGAACGCCTCCTCTGGGTGGGGGCCCTCCTCAGGCTGGCACCAGCGTGCCCGCCGTGGCTCCCAGGTCCCTTTGGAGTTACTACTCGCCTCCCCTGAAGTTTGGGCTCCCCGTCCTTGCCTCCTAGCATTTGGCTTCCTGGGGGCCGCCGTCCCCTTCGAGGCTTGGACCTCCCTCGGCCATCCAGGGTCTTCAATCCCCCTAAATTGCGACTCCCCCCCCCCCCCCCAGCACCCTTTCTTAGTCTGCGGACACTGCCGTGGTTATCTGGAACCCTGTCCAGACTGGAGCCTGCCCTCCTTCTAAGATCTTCCATACCGCTTAAGGCTGGTACTCTAGACCCTAGCCTGCCTCCTGGAGGCTGAGCCCCCCACCCCCAACCTGAAGACCAGGACCCTCTGGGTGCCTTTCTCATTGACACTCTGCTCCCAGCATGACTCCTGGGAGCCGGGGCGGCCCCTCTATGCTTCGCTGAGGCCAGGACCCCCTTCCAGACTGGGACTCTCTTTCACAACGTTGCCCCCACCCCAGGCTGAAATTCCCCCCGAGGCGGCTTCCTCGCCCGTACTTGTGGCTGGGACCCCTTCCCCAGCATGCTGTGCTAGGGCTGGAACCTTCTGGAAGCTGGCACCCCTGCCACTAGCCACCTCTGCTCTTGAGATCCTCCAGATGCTATGAACTGTGTCCACCGGCTCTCTGGAGTGCCTCGGGGCTGTGTCCCCCACACCTGTCCCTGGAGCGTCCTTTGATTGTGCCCCATTGGAGGGGCCTCACCCTCTCACCTTGACCCTGAAAGGACCTTCCTAGGTTGTGATCTACGCACACCCTATAGCATTGCCTTCTCCCCCACCCCACCCCCACACTGGTTTCAGAGGTCTGATCTACATCTCCCGACTCCCCCATTTTCCTGCACACCGTGCCCCTCCTCCAGGGCTGCCCAGCCTCCCGGAGTGCTGGACTGGGAAAGGATGGGACAGGGTGTGGGCGGGGGAGGGGGAGGTGTGGGCTGACGTCTCCCAGCCCCTATGCTCCTCAGAGCTTCCCTGGAACACCTAGCCAGACTCTCCGGCCCCTTTTGGGCCCCTCTTTGCTAACCTGGGGAGCCTACCCTGCTCCTACCTCTCCCTTTTCATTAGCCTGAACCTGCCCTGGGGGTGTACTGTGCTGCCCTTAGCCCCCGGGCCTGGAAGCTGGGGTCCCAGATACCTTTGGAGTCCTGTGGGGGATGCCTCAGTTTCTCTCTTTGTGTGTCTTGGGGGCAGAGGAGGGGCAGGAACCTTTGGCCACTCTTGCCTGCCAAGCAGCCCAGCAAAAGGGCATTTCCAACCTCAGGCCACAAACTCCAGTGTTTTGGACACTCCGGCTGGCCAGGTCCCAGGAAGGCAGGCCTGGAGTGGATTCAATGGTTGATCCTAAGGCAGGCAGTTGCACCATCGGGGGGGGGGGGTGGTGTCCCAGGTAGCCTCCATCAGCCCCAGGGGTTCTCAAGGGACTTTATAGGAGTCGGGGCCTCCAAGGAGGAGACCCTGAGCCCAGGGCAGAGGGGTGGGCCTGGCTGGCCTGGGCTCCCTGTCTCCTGAGCCAAACCTTCCCGCCTGGCCAGCCGCGGGGGGGGGGGGGGGGGGGGCAGGGCTGACGCCACGGCTCAGCCATGCGGCCGCCTGGCAAGGAGGCAGTGCTGCTCCCTCCTGAGAGATAAGAGGAGACTCAAGAATGTCTGTGGGGAGCAGGGCGGGGTGTGCAGCCGCCTGCTAGGAGGCTGGCCTGGAGGAGTCCTGGAGCCTGAGATGGGGGTGGGGGTGGGCAGGAGGCTGGGGTCGCCTCAGCCACCTGGGAGGAAAGTCCCTGCAGGAAACGGGGTGGGCCATGGTATGGGGGCCCAGTGCGGCTGAGGGTGCGCCCTGTGTTCCTAAGCAGAAATAAGAAAGCTCCGGGGGGAGGAACCTGGGCTTTGGTGGTGTGGATGTGGCTTCCCGAGTGCGTGCTTGGACCTGGGGCTGGGGACGCCCAGGTGGACACCTGGGTCCCCATCCTGGTCCCTGCGTGGCCTCCATCACTCCCTGCGCACAGTGGGTGGAGGGCTCTGTGTGTTCGGCTCTGGGCTGGAAGGTTGGGAAAGGGTTTTGCCGATGCAGCAGCAGTGCAAGACGCCAGTCGCATGCCGGAGTGCCATTCCCTTTGCACACAGGCGTGTGTCCTGGGTCCTGCCCTGTGTATCTGGTGGGACAGGGGGCTAAGGCGCTTTGGACCTCGGGTGGGAGGCTGGGACAGGGCGGCCCCCTCGAGGCTGGTACAGCCGGGCCCCCGTGACTGCCCCGCTAATCCCCTAGAGAGAGGCAACAACAGACCAGATCGGCAGGCACAGGGCCTGCAGAGGGAGGACCTACCGGGCAGCATGCACTGGCTTCCAGCAGGTAACCGGGGTGTAGCGGCAGGTGCGCTCTCATCACCTGGCTGGCTGAGATCTGTACTCCCACGGCAAGGTTCGGGACAGGAGCGTGGCAGCATCTGAGGATCCAGCCAGGACTTTGAGGTTCTGGAGCAGGCATAGCCCCTGAGAGCTGTGTGGCACTGTGCAAAGCTCTTGTCCCGGCCAGGCCCCCTTTCCTCACCTGCAAGACAGGAGGGTGTGGCCGTCAGCTCTCAAGAGCCTTATCTCCTAGCCCTGGGAAAAGAAAGACCAGGGCTGAGACATAGAGGGGCAGGTGCTGGCCCTTGATTCTGGGGCCACAGGAGGCTTGAGTGAGCAGCCATGGCCCCCCAGAGAGAAGCATGCCTTGGAGACTGAAGGGAGCTAGGTTTCCAGAAAGGCCCCTGAGAGATTGGGGTGGGGTGGGGTTTCGTCCAGAGCCCCACCAGGGCTGGAGGCAGGGGGCCTGGGATCTTGTCCGTTCTTGGAGCTGAGGGCGGCCTGGCTGGTGACTTTTCTGGCCTCTCTCTTCCTCTCCTGGTAGGTAGGTTAGTTGGACCAACTCCGGCTTCCCGTGTGATTCCTTTTTTTTTTTTTTTGAGCCATCCAACAAAGACAAACTCACAGCTTTTAGAAGAACAAAAACACCGGGATCCTGGCTTGGGGTGGGGGCTCCCCTCTGCTGTCTCCGGGCTGGGTGAGGGGAGGAGGATGGCGCCAACTGCGCCCCCAAGAGAAGAGAGTTGGCCAGAGCTGACCCCAGGCCCTCAGCTCTCTGTGCTCCTCAGGGGGGTCTTGCTGGAGGCAGAGGGAGCACCTGTCAGGGGTCAGCATCTCCGTCTCCCCTCCCGGGGCCAGTGGAGGCCCCAGGAGCAACCTTAGAGGCTCAGGAGAGAGGACCCCCACCTGGATGGGTGTCTGGGGCAGAGCCCGGGTGTGTGGGGGGGCAGCACTGTGTCCCGTGCCAGCCTCTCCGGCGCACCTGGGGAGTAGGTAGGTGGCCGGGCTGTTTGACCCCTGACTTGGAGGGAGCTGAGATGGGACTCTCCTGGGTCTACCCAGACCCCACTCCCTGGGGGACTCCTGATGATTGCCAGTAGGGGGTCTGACTCATGCCCTCGGCCCCACACCCAGCGCAGGGCCACGCGGTGGGGGCCAGCGTGGGGGAACAGGAAGTGTTCTCAGGGCCAAGGGAGGCCAGCAGTGGATGTGGGCACCAAGGCAGCAGCGGAGATGGGGGTGCGTCCTGGGGAGGGGCTGGACTGTCGAGGAGGGCGGGGGTCAGAGCGGCAGTGAGGAGCAGGTGGCCACCAACCACAGACTCTGGGGCTCTCCTAAGTCCAGGAGCCCGGACAGAGTGCCCTCAGGGTCTTAGGCAGAGCCAGGGAGGGTGTATGGGGACAGACAGGCGCCTCTGGGCAGAATGGCTTTGTCTCTGGGGACCTGGCCCCCACTGCCTGACTCCTGGGAGGTTACAGGACTGGGGGGACCTGGCAGCCAGAGGCTGTGATTGGCTGCTGCCCTTGGACTTTGCCCTCCCGATAAGGACTGGGAGCAGAAATCATTAACTGAATCATTAACTGGGGGCAGCCCCGCCCTGCCCAGGCCTCCGCCTTGCCTTTTCACCTTCTTCCTCTTCCTGCCTAACGCCCTCCTCCGGGCCTCAGTTTCCCTCACAGCCTGGGGTGCTGGTGGGGGGCTCTGCCGTCTCCAGGACTCCGGCGCCTGCTGCCTCTGGCTGTCTGTGGCCCTCGGCTGAGGGGCAGGGTGGGATGACGTCATGGTTTGGTGCTTGCCCTGGCGTGGGCAGCTGGGGTCTGCAGCCTCCCCAGAGGCCTGCGCTGGGTGGATCACTGCACCTCACTGTGCCGCTCAGTAAAATGGGCGTTCAGTGCAGCACCAGTGCCTGCCTCTCCTGGCCTGGGAACGCTCGCTGAATGCTGGCCTCGGTCAAGGTGATCACTCACGGGCCTTACACAGCCCTGCCCCATAGGCTCGGGCCAGGTGTTGTGCACCACACTTTGGGGACGATGGCTCCACAGAGAAGCCAGAGCCCCACACTTGGGCTGGGAACCTGCTTTCGCAAGCCGCTCACCCTCTCCGGGCTGCTTATTCCAGGGATGAGGGAAGCTGCCGGCTTTGTTGGGCGTGTTCTGTGTGCAGGTACCTGCACCACATCAGGTGTGGCCTTGCCCTGGTCCCCGACATGTCCCGAGGGGCCTGCCCCACCCTCCACCTAGAGATGCAGAACTTGTTCCCTGGCCAGAGGGATGGGGCCTGGCCGTCCTCCATCTTTGCCTGTGCTGTGGAGGTGCCTGGTGGAGGGGTGGGTGGTGCCCCCTCCTTTCTCAGCAGGGGAGGAAGGGATGCATCAGACTCACTCTGGGTGGCCACAGCAGAGCTGGGCAGCATCCTGGGTCCCAGGCGGGTGCCATCCTGGGAAGGGGCCTCTCTTCTCACGTGCCAAGGGGCCTGACTCCCCTCTGATGGCT